TTGCGAGTATGCATGCTCAAAATTATGTCACGTAACTTTTATTACTAACCGATTCAAGTGTTGAGAGGTAATTATTTCAGAACCGTTATCATTTCCTCCACCGGTGGGCCATGACGAAAAGTTAGCCACTAAGCTAGCCCTCCGCGGCTATGGAGACTGCAGCGCCTGTTGTGGAGGTGTTTGTTGCTAAGATTCGCGAGCGCACATGTTAAAAACCACGTTATATAAATTGCATCACTAATCGATTCTGACTGAATGCTCAGCATTTCCAGACAAACATGGCTTGGCGATGTTAACACACATTGCTGACCACTTGATCTACAATCAAAATTTTCACCCTCAAATTTCGATCAAACATATCGATCTACAATCTACCTTCGCGATGTCCTTAATGATTGTAGAACGTAGATAAAACATTATGAAAAAGCTTTTGAGTTCTATCGGTTTAGAAAGAGTCCACTAAGCATGGCAAACTAAGGACATTTATTGGTGGTGATTTATTCCACGCGGTCGTTAAACGCCTGGTTTCTGCAGTTTATTGACCTTAACACGCGCTCGGGTGGGGGGTTCAATTGACTTGCCCAGTGAAGATTTTCCAGAATGGTTTCCGAATGGCGCGGCGCAGTCGCGCCATGTTTTGCATAACTGTAGAAAATTGAATAGCGGATCGTTTAGCATAACACAATTTAGATGTACTTTGTGAGGTCGCTGGTCTATGGCAAGTCAAAGTCAGGCCATGATTTCAGCGAAGTCAACTTGTAGGGAATCGTTCAATCTGATGCAACAATGGAGCGTTAGACAATGCCATGCATCTCTGAGATGCTTTCTTAGGCAACACAAATATTGCGTGAGCAAATTACGTTGTCTTGAGGTCCGGTATAGAGGTCAGACCAAGATGAAAATCAACCTGTTTTATTGCTCTAGGGGTTGCTGTATGAGAAAGCTTCTGGCGCTCATTTCGAATTTATTGATAGCAGAAACCGCATTATACATCTTCCATGTACTTCTTAGAGGTTAGAATAGGTCATTGACCTAAAATGACCTAGGTCAACATTTTGTTTTTAGAAGCATACTGACTAGCGTAATTTTTGTCGCTTATTCAAATGCAAAACTCAGAGAAGTCATGTATGACTTTGTTCACCATGACCTTAAAAAGGTCAAACAAGGTCACTGACTTAAAATGAACATAAGACGTTTTGCTTACAAACAGTTATGTAGGTTCTGGGGCACTTTGGTAGCCAACCTAAAATTTGACATTGTTTGACCTTGTTTGACCCAAAGGTCATGACCTAGGGAGCTCAAACTCTGACCTAAGTGAGTTCACGTACAGGTCAACACACCCTGTGAATTTGGTGTCTCTAGCTCTCTTAGGTCCCGAGATCCTAGCGGGGGCAAATTGACCCCCACCTGAGCGAAGGGTATCCAGCCGGTCATCCGGGCGCGTGTTAAAGATGTAAACAGAATTGATTTCACGGAAGTTGCTTGTTTCTGCTCTGGTTACAACGTAAAAATAACAGTGAAACGAAGAAAACCGTATCCCTTGTTAACAACCAAACTATATCCGGGGATATATTTGTGGGGGGGATCACCATAAAGGGGCTTTCGTCAACCCTGTGTTCCTCTTAGCGAGGCTCAGGCCACCCCTGCTTACACACAAAAACAGATCAAGTCATCTACGTTGAATGATGAGCAATCAAATGTCCGCTGGGCCAATTCACACCTAAAGTAGATAGCTTCCCAGCGGCATTTTTCAGGGTGGTGTGGTGTTAGGGCGGATAATTCGGAAAAAATACTGTTGCAGGTGTCCAACACAGGTTTTATATCCCAATTAGTAGCAATGCTGATCCAGAAATGTGCAACAAAACAGCCACACCATCAGTTCGTGGTCAGTCATTCGGAGACAGCAGGGCCGGGACAGTGGCACCGACGGCGGACGGGAGCAGAGCTCAGACAAGGAATATATGACAATGGTCTTCATTCTGTGGCTTGGTTTTCAAAGGAGAATCTCCAGTTCTATGGCTTTTGACACATGGTTTTTGGCAATTTCAAGCTTCCGAATTTGTTTCCGCCTAAAATGCCGCGACAAGTCTTATCTCTTGAAAAGCAGCCAGCGGAATGAATGTGCATGCAAAACCTGTTGTGCTGTGAGCCATCGATTCACTTTCAAAATTCTCACCAGCCTATGCTCAAACCATATTTTGGCAATTACCCTGCGGACACAGACGCCTCCTCAATGACCCAAAATACCTACCCAGTCGCGGAATTTCGGGTCCCCAGAACAGATGATGTTGAAATGGACGAATTACCCTGGGAAGCTGGAAAGGCCCTATTTCTCGAATGACATAGATGAGTCGAACACGCAAGAGTGTGCGTCAGTGAGAAACAGTTCTAGATGCAAATCCAGAATAGCAGTCATTACAATAGAGAGCGATAACGTCCATCTCCATCCCCCCCCCCCCCTCCGGTCATCGGGTTTGTTTTCCAGAAAAAGTTCCTGAGGTACGCCCTGAGCTTAGCCCCACCCCCACACTTTTTGGAACGTTCCTACGCCTATGATGGCAATGTCAAACTGCTCCCTGAAGTGCGGACAAATGTTCTTGTCAGATGTCGCGCAATACTTTCGGATTTAACTTCAAGTAGGTAGAGGTGTTGACTAAGGGTACGCCTGAGGATTCCATCCGGCCACTCCTTACGAATTGGCAAACTTAAAAAAAATTATCTGTGGACTCAAATCATAGTAGGCCCTGGCCAGAGATATAATGTAAACATCTGACAATTTAGCAGAGAACCTCTGTTTTGAAGTTTTTTGGCGCTGAAAATAAACGACTGGGGTATTTCGATTTCGACAACCGTTGCTCATGTGATGCACCAGTAACTGCGGGCTGCATTGACAAGTCAGCGAGACTAAGATCTTGGAAGACGTACAGTTTCTCGTTCATTTCATCAATCATTGATATCGATTATAAGGTATGACTTTTGTATGATAAAAAATGCATTTTGTATGCAGGTGCAGCTTCAGCGGGCCAAACTTTTTTGTAGGTGAAGGCTCTCTAGATCCGAGGGCCCCAGTTTCTTTTTTGCGGGAGGAGGGCACCAAAAGACAACAATGTGGCACCCGGGGGCGAGCCGGGTTTTCGACGAGAATGGGTACGCAGCCAATAGACCGGGCAGCCTTGATCACCAAGGGGTCCTCTTCAAAGTCCATAGAGCCTCCCTTTTGGGGTTTGGAGCCTCCGCAAGGCTACGGGAACCCATTTTGATGTTTTGGCAGCCTGCGCCTCTATCCAGGTACCATTCGCTGAAATTTAGGAGTTCTGCAACCACCTTGCGTCGCTGAAATGTCACGGTGGTTGGCACCATGAGCTTCCGCAGCTGCTGGCAGAGCCCTGCGTTGATCGGCAAAGGACTGACGCAAAGGACTCGTGTTTTAAAACCGTCCTCTCGTTCAACAAACTGCGACTCAAGCCGCTCAGGCCGGCTAAAGCACACGGACCAAGTCAGTCAATTTTGAACCCATGCCATGTCTTAACTTCTGGCCAAACACTACACACCGGCGAATATGTGCCTGCCAAACGTTTGACAAGGGATATTCCAATCAAGTGACATTTCGTGGTTTTCAGCAGCGGACGGCTTTATTCCCTTTAATTTTGTTTAATCTGCAGGATAGTACCACATACATCCGTTGTCACTTTTGCCATTTCATGCCACGAAAGGGTCTTACTGGCTCAGCAATTTTCTATTGTTAAACCGTTTCCGTCGGTGACGAAAGATCCTTCACAAAAATAGAGCGAAACGCCGGTAGTTCCTAGAACGTCCACCAGGTGCGCGTCGGCAGCCAGTCGCAGAGCTTGATTTGGCCACTGCAGACTACAATCTCTTCCATTAAAAACGAAATGTGTTTTTAATTTTTGGTGCAGCGACATGAAGACATCACTGACCTGCCCACACCGGTTTAAAAATGGCCGTCGTAAAGGCCCTGTCTGTCGTCAGCTAGCGGGTGTCACTGCATCAGCTGCCTCCCCTCGTCCTCGCCAGCCGTAGGGTCTACCCTGTACCAATTCCCACCCCTCGTCGGTCAGCAGGTCCACCTTGTATTACTCCCCACCCCTCGTCCTCGTCGGCCGTAGGGTCTACCCTGTACCAATCCCCACCCCTCGTCGGTCACCGGGTCAACCCTGGTGGATTGGTGCATGCACTGATCCCCATCCCATCGATGTAGTTTCTTTTTGAGCTGGGACTTTTAGCTGCATCACCACCCCAACTTTGGGAAGTGCGAGGTTCAAATGGGAGGAATTACAAGCTTTTTTGCATTCTGGGAGTGGGCTTCGCCATTTTTCCTTGTGCAGCTCCAACTTATGTCGTATGGTTTCACTCTTCCTTCGCCTTTCGTTGACCACCGTGTCCCCCAGCACCGATCTCCACCCCTCGTGGGCCTCGGGGTCTCCCCAGACCCTGTCTCCCCGTCGGGTCTCCCCGGACCCTGTCTTCCTGTCGGGTCTCCCCAGACCCTGTCTGCCCGTCAGGCGTCTCCAGCCTCCGTTCGACAGCACGTGCCGACCCCGATGGCCGCCGTGTCCGGCGGCGGTCAGGCCTCGCGTGACCGGCGCACATCTCCTGTCCCCCGCCATTGACGGCCGCCGTCTCCCGCCGCTATATCATATAATAAAATGACGTCACGGCGTCCGGACGCGGCGATTGGTTGTTTGTTTGACGCCATGCATGGCCGGGTACTTTGATTATAACATGTGCGACTGTAAAGACCATCATTACTGTCGGGTGGAAGCGGGCGCGGGCGGCGCCGGCGGGCCGGCGGCGCGCTCTCTCGGGGCCGGTGCAGTGACCGCCCCGCCGCCGCCGCGACGCGCTCATCGTGCCGACGCTCGTGTGCCAGCCGTCGGCGCCGACGAAGGCCGACGCGTGATCGGCTGCGATTGGAGGAGCGGTGCCGACGCGGGCGAGGCCGCGCGCGGCCGCGGTCGGTGACGTCAGCAGTGGGCCGCGGCGCGCCGCCGATCTCAGCCGGCAGCCGGTCGAGGCGACAGCTGACGGTGCCCGTTTCCGACTGCCAGGTGAGTGAGGCCGGCTCCAGGCCGGTGGACCCCGGCGCGGGGGTCGAGCCTGGCCCCGTCCTGGCCGAGGGCGAGCGCCGCTCCCAGGCCAGCTGCTAGCGGCAGGCAGCAGACTGCAGCTCCGCTGTAGACGGATCTAGTCCGGCTACGACGCATCACAAAGCCGAACATGTTTTTCTTAGCACAGCAATAATGCCACCGGTGTTTCCACTGGACATTTATTTTCATACGTCCCCTCTGAAATGCTACTGGAGATTCTTATTGGTTCAATAAATGCGTTTTTGAGATCAATTTTAAAAGTTAACGCTGCTGGTTACCCGTTGACGAGTGTTATTGCCCAGCACTGAAATATATTGCAGTATTTCGCCTTTCTTTTGTTCTTTAAGAATTAGTTCGAAAGACACGACTGTTACAATGTTTCACATCTGCTTAATGATTAGCTCCTCTTGAACGAAACCAAAGACAGCTTGGGGGAGTTTTGTAGTCTTTTGGAAGTTTAAAAAATGCTGGTAGGAATGTTAAAGCTGGAAAGGCATTGGAAAAGCCCGAGACCGTTTTCTGCTGGGCGCTAGTTCCACCAGAGCCCAAACACTTGCAGTTTATTTCCTTCTAGAAAAATGCATGCCATGAAGTTTGAAGGAACTTCATCAAATTTAAATCAGTGCCGCATGTCTACCGTCTCTGCCGTCTTTCATTCTAATGAATAAAATGATAGTTGAGGGTCACATTGAGTGTCCGTGCTACTTGCGTAGGCGTTACATATTTTCCATTAAGGTTTGTCATGCTATCTGATGGCTTATATACGTCTTCCTGCCAAGTTTGAAATCTTTCCAATGATGTGAAGATAAAACAAGAAACTGGTATTAATCTCAAAGGGTTGTATGCCAAGGGGCTGAAAAAACTCAGCAGCCCTGTTCATATGACTACGGGAGGATGTTATGATATATTTTGAAAATCATGATGACAACAGTCTTTTTCTACGAAAATTTAGCTGGGCTGGTTCAGAAACCAGATGTTCGAAACAGGTATTTCCATTACGAGCATGGCTTCGTTCTCAATCGTGTCATCACTTCTTCCTGATGTCTTCGCTCTGGTTGGCAAAGGCCGCTTTTGCTGTGTGTCATTAACTTTCTTCGTCTCTATAAATCCACGCAGAGCCTTTAACCCTGAGATGGATGCACGCAAGTTTTATATGTTCCCATGGTAACTAGAACGCACTCTTCTGACGATTTGTGTTCTCGAATGAATGAAAACATCTTCCTTGTGAGCAGAATGCATTCTACCATACCATCTATCATTTTTGTCCGATTTGATAGTGCGCGAGAGCGCGCCAGCCTCGGTGGCAGTGCCCGCTGCCGCGGGCAGGGGGGAGGCTGGCTGGGGCCGGCGGCGAGCCGGCAAAGTCGGCACTGGCCGAGCCGTAAACCGCGCCTAGCGACGACCGGCCGCCCGAGGCGCACCCCGCCGGCCGGCCCGACACGGCCCGCCGGCCGGCTCCAACACACTGGCTAGCACAACAACTTGGCCCGCTAAAGGCCCTACACCAGCCACCCAGCTCAACAGCCCACACTTGTCTGGTTCATCACAATACACCGGCCCAACACAGCCCACCAGCCGACCCAACACATCGCAGAGTCGGGCCCACGGTCCAGCACAACACACTGGCAGACCGAATGCCACACAGAGGCAGGCTCAACACAACACAGGGGCCGAGCAAACACAATACGTCACCGCAATACGTTGGCTGTTCCAACACACCACATCGGGCCAATACAACACACTTGCTGGCCCAACGCACAACACAAGAGAGCCGAAGCGCAGTGCCGATTCATGGAGCGGGCGGTCTTGGGGAGGGCGGAGGGCTGAGGGCGGGGCGGCTTATTCGTTTGGGAGGACCGCCACCCATCCCTCTGTCTGACGGGCCCTCCCAATGCATTATTTAACTCATTCAGCAAGCGAAGTAGTCTTTGGCGCCTGATATGTTGATGTGCGGACCATTTTTGCCTCTTGCGTTATATTTAACTATTGATGCAGTGTTGCAAATGACTCTTGTAACGCATAGTTTGCAGCCATCCGTTACAAGGCATGCGTTCAACTTAAGATGTTATTGGCTAGTTTGCTCTTACAGATAATACATCTGCTTTTGCGCTTGTGTCCGAAATAAAACTAGAGGTCTGGCCTATGACTCGCTTGAAGAATTCAGAGGCGTAGTAGTTTTGCGATTGCTTCCATTGTTCCAACTCGGCTTTCTAATATCCGTTTGCTTAATCTTCACTTCACAAAGACATAATGATTATCATTAAAAGCATTGCCCAACTGTTCCATACAATTTGGGCTAGTTTATAGGTACTGCTCTATTATCTACAACATAAGTCTCGGTGTGATATGAGAGTCATTTAGTTATTTTGTTCACGACCACTACTTTATCACAACTTTGGCAGTCCTTGTGTTTTGTAGCCACAACGCTTATGAGCCAACCCCCATTTCAAAATCAGTTATTTCAATGCATCAGCCAAGAGCCTTATATTCAACCTTCACAACAAGCTACAACAAGCTAACTTGTTGCTAAGTTAGCTAGGTTTTTGGCATTTGTACTTTTTGAAACGATCGAATCACAGAAATGATGCGCTGTAAATATGGCATTAACTTTTTTAAGGCTTAAGCGTATTAAATTTGGCACCTTTCCGTCGTGGCAACCGCCTCAGGATACATCACTTCATTTTTGCGCACTAAAACTTCCAGTAATGTTGCAGCTTCAAAAATGGTTTAATGAACATGTGATGCAAGACCTGCTTTGTGCCTACCTGCTATTCTGTACTTCGCTTGGGCGTGTGGTTCTTGCGTGAGATGTGCTGAGAAAATCTATATTCACTCCCGGTATGTTCTCGTCGAATCAATATGTGTGTTCATATCTTGTAATCGCGTCGAAAGGATACGGCTCATAGCAGTGCAACATTACGCGGAATCTTCGAGCTACTTCATTGGTTATCGCCTTTTCAAGATGAGATAGTTTGGTGACATGTGACAGCACCTAAAAGAGCAGAAAAGATCTGACAACTAACACAAAATTACGAATCAGTCTTCTTTCTGCGGGCCTTGACCTTTAATTAGGGGTGGGACATGACTGGGCTATCAAGAAGCTATGGCTTCCGCCTTACTTGGCAGCATTATCTTGCCGCCATATGCAACTCTCTGATGACCAATGCTATGGTTTTTTCTCCTGTGTGGGGCTGCTGCTATTCACAAAAAACCGGCATACGTTACATGACAGGCGATTCTACCTCATATTTTCCTTTTATTACAAAACTTTGCAACTCATTACAATTTTGTAATCGCACCAGCGTAAGCCTTTCTGCACTTCCTTGAATTCAGCCCGGGTCTGGGTCTTCTTGCATCATTTCTCCGCAAAAATACGCTGTCTAAATCAAGTTTCTGCGAGATATTCGATACTGGGCCTCAAAATGATCTTTTAAATGCATCGGTTGAATACAGCCAACAGTGCCTACATTGCGACCATATAAACAGCATAGGGACATGGGATTTTATAATTCATGACGCTGTAACGGCAGACATTTTCGGGAAGTCAGGTGGCTGCTCCTTCATTTCCGAGTAATTGCTTTCGCGTATCAGGTCTGGAATATACGTCATGGTACATTCAAACTATCTCCTTGCCAGCAGTTTTGCCATTTCCTTAAAGGCCTCATATTGCATTTAGACTGGATGTTTTATCAAAGGCAGACTCAGGGCATAAAGCAAACTCAGAAAGCAAGCTTGACAGCAATCAAACTCACGGCGCTTGATCCAAATCAGTTTTGAAACAGATCTGCCGCATTGTGCCATGGCATGTTGTGTTGTGTTGTGTTGTGTTGTGTGTTGTGGATCGCAAACACTGCCAATGTCCTCCTCTCAATTGCATTTTTCTCCCCGGACTGCCAGACCTATTTTCCTTTTAATTCCCATCAAGTGACGAAAGGCACCGATGGCGGTCAGTTGGCAATGCCATCCAAAGGAAAATTATCAGAGGCACTTGCTTAGAATACGAACTAGTCGCACAGTGAGCCATCTTTGATGGATCGTTGTCGCAAAGACAACCCTCTGCTGTGAGAAGAAGGCACTTTTTCAAGAAGAAGAAACGGTTTGAAATGTCCCACAGCCACGGCATAACATTGTTTGAAGTACAATATTGTTCTTCATCCACGAAGATTGTACAGCAGCTCAATTAAAATGGCATGTGCACGTTTCCTGACGTCGTATGTACAAGAACACTTCACCTAACGGCTGTGTCTTCCAAACTCGGTATGTTGCTTGGGCCACAGCTATTTTCAACTGTTCACTGTTTTAGCTGTGTTTACATCGTTTTGTCTAGCTGCTTTCACAAAATCTCCTTTAATTGTTTCACTGAGATTGTTTCGTACTTGTTATGTCAAAGTCATCCTTGAAATTCCGTAAGGTTTATTAATTTATCCTATATATTTATAAAGCACTTACGTCTGGTGCAAACATTAACCAGTTGAGGCATCTCGTTATGCGCTGCTATATCATGTATTCACATCTACAATGTTTCTTAACTTGAGAACAAATTCGCGATACTTCCAAGCTCCGATAAACGTGCACTAACCACAATCGCACTGTTTTCCAATGTTTGTCCTTCACACCTCTACTAGGATTCAAATATGTAGGATCAGCTGAAGCTTCCCGCCCCCATTTTGTAGCTAATATATTTTAACACCGGCCCTACGACATGGCACGCTCCCAGCCCTGGACATCAGGCCCCTGAAGTAAATAAGTCGCGAAAGGAAAGTGAACTACTAAACAACTTGTTTGCCCCCAAATAGCAATATAAAAGAGTTTAAGTGTGGAAAACAGCAACTAGGGTACTCCAAGTCGGTCGACCCGGGGCAAGACACTCTAACTGGCCAACTGGCTTTCCGAAGCTAAATTCCTGCGAGCATTCAAAACCACTGTGGTGGCCTGCTCGGTTCATAATGTACGCCCGATCG